ATAAACTGCGGTTAAGCCTTATAATCAGCTTTGTTTCATAGTAGTAAGGGTTTCGGTAGGGTAACCGCAAGATAAATAGTTGAAGTTAAACGTACATTTAATGTTCATATATTTTGAAGTGTTCCCAAGGGTAGAATTGAAGAACCACCTAGTTCTTATAATCGATTATGGCCAATGCAACTTGCACTTGCAGAACTACTTTGATTGCCCCGACTGTAGACATATACAAACATATGTTTGCGCCCATGCACATGCACGCCCCAACATACATACAAACGTAACTACATCGGCGAAAGAAGGGCATGTCCATTGATAAAAGGTGAACAATATCTATAAATAAACCCCCAGTTCCAACAACACGGGGCATGCAATCGCAGTACTTATCGTAAAATAAACAAGCCCTATTTGCTAATCAAATACGGCCAACGTATGCAACGTGTGGGTGTTAGCATAATGATTATTGGCACGAAGATCGTTAATTAAGACAACTTACTTGCCGCGAAAGCCAGCTGTTCCGTACTGGACGGGCTCCTTGGAAGTCTTCGGATACATCTCCCTGGCGAACGCGTAGACGGTGCGCAGATTAATAGACATTTTGCGATCGAAGGTGGTGCAACTGGTCCAGAGCAAGGTGGCAGGTTCCGTCCGGTTTTTCCGGACTTTCGAAATTTACGAATTTCACAGATGTGTGGAATTTCTGCAGGCGGGTGTGACCACTGAGCCCTAACACCGTTACACCCGAAGAATGCATTTTCTGGGTGCCACGTTATGGTCACACTTCGAAATAGTTTATAATAGTTTTTATTGATTTCCGTAACGTTTACATGGTTTTATTGAGTAATTCGCTTTGTACAGAGTCTGAAAGGGCCTACAAATCGTTTTTAACCAATTATTTTCATGAAACGTTGGGAAAAGCCATATTACCGTAAAGTCGTTGGCGTTCACACCCAATTTAAATTTGGCGGGTATAGTTGCGGTCAAGATAATAGGATTCATTAATATTAGCAAAAATCTTGTCTGACCCTTACAGATACATAAATAAATTAGCTCGCATGTTTAGTTAAATTGATAAGACTGAATTTGGATTACTCTGTTATTTTTAAAATAGAAATCCAATAGTTTTGTATTCCTCAAAATGTTACCCTATAAAAAAACAATCCAAGAAATGTTTAAGAGAAGTACTGTTCATTTTTTACCTCAAAAAACATATTTGTATCCCAGCTTACAACTTAAGATGTTTGGTAGCCTAACCACTAACCGACAGAATAAGAAATAAGACCAGCAGCTCATTAATTTCGTTATTTTATTTGTATACTTATAAGCTGTTGTAAAAGAGTCGGCTTACATATCCTAGGTACACTTTTTTGGACGGACTTAGTTGGTATGTACACAAACAAATACTATATTAAGGCACAGGCAGTTTATAAATATAATTATAGCCTTGTTCAGATATTTTTCGGCTAAAGGGAGTAAAATATGACATTTTCGGACGGAAGGGATCTCTCTTTAAACTTAAAAATATTTGGAATGTAAAAAGGTTGATATGTTTCTCTTTGTGCTAGAGATGCTTGTACAATTTCAAATTCTTACCGAGTCCATTGACTCACAATATTGCCACAAAGGAGCCCACCAGGAGCAGGCCTACGGATAATGCCACCTGGGAGGCCCCGGCGTAGCAATCGGTGATGCGGCGAGCCCGCATAAAATCGCTGCCCAAATATGAATCGTAGCGTCGCTTGTTGGGTGGAATGACTTTCAACTGCCGCGTGGCATCCTGGAAGATTAGATCGTAGTGACCAATTGGCGAAGAGAACATGCTAAAGCTAAAGGCGTCCACTTCCTTTCGGCCGTACAGTTGTTGGGCATAGGTCAGAAGGTTAATATAGGCATTCATCTGGGTCTCGTTGTAGTTGACTCCGCCGCGAGTCACGACGGCATTGGCTTTCACCTTGCCCAGATTGCAGCGTTTGTAGTCCTGAATCTCGGCTCGGGTACCATCTGTGCACAGAAGCTCGAAATCGTCGTTTAGGGCATTCCTAGCCCACCATTCCTTGCGCTTGCCGCCCGTGCTCTCCATCACGGTGGTGTGCTTCATAAAGGCCACATGACCGCCACCTTCCACCAAACACCGGAAGGCTCCCGTATGCCCGTAATAATCCTCCGAGGCATCGCGACGACAGTATCTATAGCTAGTTCCATGGCACAGATCGCACATGCTGTCGTAGGGCACTCCGGTGTTGTATTCACTGCTAATTGCACCCGGCACACATGACTTGGTGAAGTACTCCGCGGCAGCACGAACCGAATCGCATCCGTAAGGGCGAATCCAGCCGTTCGAGATGAACAGAGCCATTGGATATGTCCATCCAGCGGCGGTATTGATGCCCGTGTGGCAGGTGTTCTTGCCCTTTAGGTACGTCAGCTCCGTGTCGGGATCCTCCTCCTTGGCCACAGCCACCACATAGTACTCGGGCTCACCCAGATTGTACACCTCCGACATGAAAGGAATCAGATCGTAGTTCAGTCCGCCAGTGTAGACGTCTCCGGCATCAAAAACGGAAATATCAGCCTTTCCCGCTTCGATGAACTGCATGCAATTTATGTGAGAATGCATTTTCTTGCAGATGAGTTCCGGTTTCAGGAGATGCGCTTTCAAGGCAGTCTGTAAGGTTGGGAAAATTATCAATAAGACTACCTTCCTTTGATTGAATTCCATTTAAACTCACCCTCATCTTGATGCATTTCTCCAGTTCGTTCTCCGAAGTCACGCAAAGGGTCATCGCTGGAACTGGACACTCACGAATGCCGTAAATAAAGTTAATGGCAGGTCCTAAATACTTGGTAAAGGACTGATCATCTTCAGGAATGACAGTAAGAGCCCGGCTTGAGTCCTACAATTAAAAGGATACGTTATGTTTATATGTTTCATTACGAGAAGAAACTACCACAAACCTGGAACAGCAAATTCGGCTTGCCATATCGTTTGGACTCGAAGATGCGGAATTTCTCATAGAGAATTGAAGTATTTGTCCCGTCCTGCGGGTTTCTCTCTGAAGAAAAACTACTGTCTAATCTTTCGTTGCGGTACTGATCGTACTGATTTTGTGTTCTGTAGGGATCATTATTGTCGTATTGGTTGTAGGGGCCTGATTGACCCTGATCGTTGAAATTGTTGCGGTTGTTGAATCCTTGTCCTCCCTGTCTACCCTGCTCATCGCGGGTTCCATCGGAGTACAGCTCCGCAATGCGTTTCAAGAACTGCTGATACTGCTTTCGATCGCCGAAGCTGCGAGCTGAAGATGTGACAATGGCATCTGCGGGAACTTGGCCCCAATTACACTGCCGGTAATCGTTGATGGGTGCCCGACGACCATCGCGACAGAGCAGCTCAAAAGTGTCGGGCGACAAGTTTTCTAAAAACAATTCCGTTGAAATAAGTAACGAGTTCTTAATAGGTCCCCATTAACAACTTACGGAATTCGGTGGTCTGCAACATTTCAGTAACTGTGGAATGGCGCAAAAAGGCCACATCTCCCTTTTCCAGCAGACACTTGAAGGCGCCTTCATAGCCAAAGTAAGGATCTGCCGACGAACAACGTCCCCCGGGGATCTTGCCAGTGCAAAGCGTACAAAGTCTATTTTCAGAGGAATGCTTTTAAGTTATGGCTTTTAAAATAACATTTTCTTTGCGTCTTACTTATCAGAGTTGTCGCCAATCGGATTGTACTTGTCGGATAGGGAGTACACGGCACACGAATCGTTAAAATAGCTGGCAGCTGTCTTCACTTGATTGTTGCAATCCACAACTTCCATGCCACCCTCTCTTTGGAGCTGTGGAGTTATGGGATTATTGTTATTATTATTATGTTATTATTAGATAATTGACATATAACATATGATAACATTTAAAATTATATTCACAAAAAATACATTAGAAATAGGTTTTAAACTTCATATCAATCTCTAGAGGTTTGATCTTCTATTTTTTTGTAGTCTAGTTTGAGTAGTTGTAGCTCCCATAAACGTCGTATAATGATTTAAGAACTTTAGAAGCATTTAAACTACAAAACCACTATTGGCTTATTATAGGGATTCTCACCGTGTGAACGGGAACAATCCAACCGGCCAGACTGCCCACCCAGGGGAAGCAGACCCTCTTGTTCCGCATGTCGTGGAGATTGTTTAACTCCTGCAGCGATCCCTTCTTGATCACGGCCACGGATTGGTACTCCGCGAAGCCGCCCTCAAGTTTTTCCTGCATGATGGGGATCAGGGAGTTGTACCGTCCCGCCGTGAAGACATCTCCTGCGTCAAGCGAAGTTATGTGGGCCTTCTCGCGATCGATGTGGTGGATGCACTCATCCGCACTGTGGGCCATGAAGCAGGTGAGATTTAGGAACACCTCGTCGAACAATGCTCGATCGCGTTCGATGGCCACCGTAAGATTCTGGCACTTGTATTGCTCAGCCTGGCTCTTGGTGCACCAGATGATTCTGCTGGTTTTGTGCTCATTATAGTGATGTTGTGCTGCAAGATGAATGGTTTACGAAAATACTTGGAGTCATGCCAACGCCCTAGAAATCGCGGATATCGCTATTCCGCCAGCGAACTTACCATAAGCAAGGGTCAAACATAAAGCGCCGGCCAGAGCCACAAAAACGAGGCTCCTAGCCATTTTCTGGATATTAGTAATTTAACTTAAAAGACCAATCTTGAAAACAATTACTCAAACAATACACCACACCCAAGCCCAGCTCAAGATAGCCAGTGTTACCGCACAGAAGAAAATACCAACAATTCCCAAAAAAAATACCAACAGGTACCTACAGTAAACGTAATTGATATGCCACTTGATTGAAGAACAAAATAAAGAATCTTGCAAGAAAAAAATTAAAATGGTGTAAAATAAAAATAAACTTTCTATGGAACCCCCATATAATATTAATTTACTTATTTTGCATCTTAATTTCAGACATTTGCTTGCATATTTCCACCATTCTTGTTAACGAGTGTTTACTGTAACTTACCACAAACACACCACTCTTGTGTGACCTTTCATGCGGTGTGTTTTAGCGCATTACGACCAACCAGGTGTTTTGTGTTTTATAATAACAAACCGAGAAATTCTTTAAACTAAAAATATACAATTTTACCAGCTAAATGGCAGTTCTACGTGGATGGAGATTCGTTGGCTTCGTGTCTTGCATCTTTGGAGCTGTGGGACTAACCCTATACCCAGTGATTGTGGACCCGATGCTGAACACCGAAAAGTACAAAACCCTCCAGGAGTACAGCAGGATAAAGAGAGATGAGCTGCAGCACATTAAAAGGCAGTAAAATCCCCGACTCGATACTCCATTTGTACTTTTAAAAACCAAAATTTGTGTATTTTCTCTTACATGATACCCTGCTACAATGTACATACTCTAAGCTATACGAAAATACAAAATAAGCTGTGTTGATGAACGCATGGCAGTCGTTATTTCAATTAGAATCATTTAGTTTGTTTTGGTATATGAAATACTAATTTTGTTCATTATAATATATTATTTAATATATACAGTCCACTCAAAAAACGTTTTTATTCCATATCAGGCTGATTGTCAACTAACGCATGAGCTAATTTTTACTTGTTAAATAATTCTTATGAATCGGCCTAGAAGTGGTTGCTTTTTCTTCTCTGAACTTATACCACTGTAGGGCTTGAGTTATTTGTTAAATTTCTTGTAGAAATTTTCAAGTCTACAATTAATTATGTTTAGATTAGCTTTTTTGAAATTCTCTGTATTGTCTTACAAAATTCGAACCTCTCCTTTCGATGGTTTTACAACCTTTTAGAAAACTTCCCTAAAACTTACTGATAATATATAAAATAATGTTTTTAATTAAAAAATGTATTACCTGGTTTTAAAAAATTAATAATAAAAATGATTTCTGTTATCACTTAAAATACATTTTAAAATATAAGTTCTGAGTGCAACATGGTTCCGGAACTGGTTCCCAGCCGGTGCAGCTAAAGCTTTAGGAAATTTCTCACCAACTCGTTGCCGCTTACAAGGTTCTTTATCTGAAATCGAAATCATACGTGGACATAAATCTTGGATAATAAATACCTGGGGCTTCACAATTAGTCTAATGCAAAATGGGTACCGCAACACTGAATCGTGACGAAATCCTGCTGCTCTTCGACGTGGACGGGACCTTAACCATGCCTAGGTCTGTGGTGACTCCAGAGTTCGAGGAGTTCTTCTACTCGAAGGTGAAACCCAGGGCGACCATCGGGATCGTCGGAGGTTCCGATCTGGAGAAGATGTTTGAGCAGCTGAACGGCGACAAGATCCTCAATGAGTTCGACTTTATATTCCCGGAGAATGGATTGGTGCAGATTGAGGGAGGCAAGGAGGTGGGAAAGCAGAATATCATCAAGCACCTCGGAGAGAAAACACTGAAGCGCTTCATCAACTTTGTCCTGCGCTACTTATCCGAACTGGATGTGCCCATCAAGAGGGGAACCTTCATCGAGTTCCGAAATGGCATGATGAATGTATGCCCAATTGGCCGACAGTGCACCCGGGAGGAGCGGAATATGTTCGCCGAATACGACATTCAACACAAAGTGCGGGAGAAAATGATCAAGGATCTCAAGGAGGAGTTCGCCGACGTGGACCTCACGTACTCCATTGGTGGCCAGATCAGCTTCGATGTCTTCCCCCACGGCTGGGATAAAACCTACTGCCTGCGTCATATCGAAGCCTACTACAAGTTTAAGGAAATCCACTTTTTCGGCGATAAAACGGAGCCGGGCGGCAACGATTATGAGATTTATAGCGATCCTCGAACTATCAGCCATAGGGTGTACACTCCCAAGGACACACAACGCATCCTTGCTGAGATTCTGGAGCTGTGAAGCAACCGAGATCACTCAACATAAAAAATTCCATTTTTTATACATGTGTACAATTGTTAACCAAATTTAATATATAGTCATTTGCAAGATCTAATCTGTGTCCATGCCAGAGCTACTAGAGCTATCCTCATCGCCGCTGCATTCTTCGTCGGAGCTGCTGCTATCGCTATCTTCCCAGTCGTGTGCCTTCAAGTTATTAGGAATTATAACCTTCCATTCCAGTTTGTGCAAGTCCAGAGAGTAGAAATCGTTGTAGGTCAGCTGTTTGGCGTCCTCTTCAATGATTCCGCCAAAGATATAAAGTGTTCCCTTGCAAACGCAGAGGCCGGGATTCATGCGCGGAGATGGTACATTGGTTGGTTTGGATTTAGGGAAAAGACTCGGTATGTTGGACACATAAGGTGTACTCGTACTAGGTCCACCAACGGTAACTGTGAAAATGCCATCTGTGGTGGTGGTTACGGGCTTATCAGGTGCGGACATCTCAACATCCTTGCTCTCCTCCGATTCCTTCTTCTCAGCGGGGCTGCTTTTCGTTTGGATCTCCTGCAACCTCCATGTTTGAGAGGTCAAATCAAAAGCCAGCAGTTCATCGCCAAACTGGCCGTGGACATCTTCGTCATCCTCATCGACGTCCATGACGCCACCAAAGGTGTAGGCCTTGCCATTCGCAGCTACAGTGCAGCCAACACTGCTACGCGGCTTAGGTTTGTATCCTCCGGGCTTTACTGGGGCCCACTTGTATTTGTTATCAGCATCACCAGCGTTTTCTAAAATGAAATAAGATATAATTAGTAGATTAACAAGGCTATGTTTGAAAATAATAAGGGTAAAAGAATAGAACGCTATTTTTGTGTTTTACATCCATCGTATCTCAATAAATACGGTTTGATAACTTACTGTCTTGGCTCAAAACAAACATATCCGTATGGGTTACACCCCGATCAGCCTCCTTCTTCATGGAGGCCCTTGAGTAACCTCCCCAAACGTAGATCTTGCCTTCCGGAGAAGCTGCTATGCAGCATCCAGAACGAGGGGATGGTACAACAGTTCCTCCGATCTCAGTTTTAAGCCACTGGTAAGACTCCAGCGAGAAAATATGAATGTCGTTGAAATAATGATACGACTGGTTGTTATCATGGAAGCCGCCAAAGATGAACAGACGCTTCTTGGAGACGGTCATTCGATGGCCACTCCGTGGACTAGGTCCATTGGGGGCAGATATCTTTTCCCACTTGCGGGATTTCAGGGAGAATTTCCATAGGTCCTTGTAGTGGTGGAACTGCAGCTGCGAGGGACTGGCGTGTTCTCCTCCAAACATCTAAAAGAGGAGTACATTATTTTAAGGCTTCTCAATAAATTATATTTTCTAGCTAACCCAAAGTTCTCCTCCATTGCTGGCCACAGCCACCATTTGGTGTCCACTTCTTGGCGTGGGACCTGAAGGCGATCTGAGCTCCCTCCACTCGCCACTTTTAATATTGTAAAAGTATAGGTCGTTATAAACTGTGGTCTTAGTTCCCGTATAAAGTTCCCCGCCAAACATGATGAGTTCCTCCTTTTCCGGATGGGAAACTAAGGTAAAATTCGATCGGGGAGTTGGCGGAGAGCAAACGGATTCACTGATGGTCTCAATCTTTCCCTCCTTGGCCTCCAGAAGTTGGATTATATCAGCAATGTTAGCCTACAAAAAGTATTGTCGTATTAGTAAATATGATATGATAGCGACTATGTTTATCCTTACTTCTCCCAGCTTTTCCAGCATTTTCTTTTGCCGGGCTGCCTGCTTTTTATCCGTTTTCATGGCCGTCTTCTCGGCTCCTTTGCCCTTCTTCTTGTTCTTGTCCTTCTTGCCCATTTTATTAGGTTTATTTCGGTTCGGAAATTTAAATCAACAAACAATTTTAGCCGCACGTGTACCGTTCGAGTATGAAGAAGAAGAGCCCGAATTAGAAATACCAGATACTTGCTGACAGCGGAATTGTGAGAAATATCTTAACGGGTTTTTTGAAAAGGGCGCGCGAGATTTTTGAGTTTGAATTAAGTAGTATTGTTTTATTGTGGATAATTTATGTAAAATTATAAGAAAAAAAAATGTAAACGAAAAAATTGTTTTTCCAAAAAAAATTTCATACATAATAAATAAAACAAAATTTTTTTTTTATAAATGCAACAAAAAGCATAAAAACTTTAATTTTTAATCAGGAATACATATATACTGTGTTATGTTTAAAGGATGGGTACAAAGTGTGACATTAAAGACAAAACATAAGCTTCTTTCAAATGAATATTTCACAGACACAAAAAATTGTTAGTCTTAGATAATATTTTAGTTCATTAAAAAACAAATACTTTCACGATTACATGGTCAATGTTATATGTTGTATGGTATGTAGACATTTGGGCTTGTGGCCTAACACACTTATTCAGGTATTTAGGATTGCGATGGATTGCTGCTTGAAGATCCACGACAGTTGACCGACCAGCTGGAGTCAAATCCACAGGCGGAGTCCGAATCGGAATCAACTGCGAAGGATGTAGCGATGCCCTTGGGAGCACGCAATTGATTCGGGGTCGTGGGCATGCTGCTATATCCGCCATTCAGATTGGAACTGGAGTTCGAGGAGCAAATGGAATCCCGAGGTGAATCGGTGGCATTCGAAGCATACGACGAGCGCTTCGAGGACTTGTTCCGCTTGCTGATATAATCCACCGTCTTGGGCGGCGGCATTAGCTCCTCCGATCGGTGTGGTATGTTGTCTGCCGATCCCCAAGACTTGTGCACTCCGTCGTAGATATTCCGGTTATTGGGAACACTCGCCCTCGATGGAAGGCCGCCGTTCGTCCCGTAGGGTGTGCTCATCGCTGCCCTCTGATTCGGATGCCGACTCCGTGTCGTACCAACGTGGTGATGATGACGTTGGTGAGGGGCTCGGTGAGACCGATGGTGAGGGCGACTTGCTGCCCCCGCTCCCCCGCCACTGCCATAGCCCATCGGGGCCACCCCACTGCCATTGCCCACTCCCAAGAAATTGCTGAACGCCTCGGTGGTCTTCTTTACCCTGACATTCAACGAACCAATCCGCAGGAAGCCCAAATCTTTTTCGACTGGAAAGATAAGAGGTTTATATTAAAATCATTAGATCCGTTTTTATACACATCTTATACACAGGTTCAATTGTTTAGAAATAAGTTTATCGAAATAGGTAGGTGTAAAAAAATGTATTACAAATATTACTTACTTGCATGCTTTTTGCGAGCCTTGATTTCTGTGAAGGAAAATAAATATAAAAAATATTCATTAATATTTAACCATACTTTATAAAGATCATATCAAATGAACGTGCAGTAACTTAAAAAAATGCCTTAAGTTAGCGGACTTTTGAAAACAAGTACAAAGTAATGCAGGCGAAGAGGATAAACATTAAAAAACAGAAAGGAAACTTACCAACAGCAACGCAAACGGGATTTGCAACTCAAGTGCTTGCGAAAATTAAACTAAAATAAAGATTTATAGCTACCAGAGTACAAAAAGCATATATTTACAGGCTAAATACGAAAGGTTACATTTGGAAGCCAAGGTTGCAACTCAAAGTTAAGCTAGCCAAATAAATTGAACATGGTTTTAATCAACACTAATGGTTTTGAAATACTCAAGATCGTTAAATCTCAACCTGCCTCCAGGTACCGTTGAGTCCGCCGCTGAATCGCATCGCTTGAATCTCTACATGCAGCAAAATTGAAAATAGATAGAGGTTCCCATTTTATATTAATTACTAGCTCAGTTTAAAGATCGTATACTCTACTTTTCAGTATGTTTTTTGATGATGGGCAACAATGTTTGCAAACGAGGGTAAATATTATTAATTCCGGAAGCGCATTCTCTTTATGAACTGAGTTGGGTTTATATTATGTCTTGCAAGAATCTGTTATATGTTTGGTAATAGATTTCCAGTTTAGAACTAGTTTTATTGTGTACGTATTTTATTGTATTTGGTTGTGCCAATAAACATGCGATTATTATTAGGTATGTACATAAGGAGTTATTTTCTTATAGTAAGTTAATCGATACACCTTGGTAAAAGTATAATATAAAAAGGCCATGCTTTGGTTCTTATGAACTAGGAAAGTGTTGTTCTGTAAAAAGTTTAGTTTTGTACAATATTTCATAGAATCATTTTGAATGTAAAAGTGTATAAAATATTTTTAGTTTAGCCCCAACCATATACTTAGGTGCCCCATATAGGTATATACATTAGCACATTTTAGAAAGGGTAAATACAGGTGAAAGATTATAAAACAAGCGAGTGTACCAATTAACCATGCTCTGGTGGGTTAGTAACAACATCTTTGGTGGACTGACGACGACTGCCACCCGCGGTGGCTCGAAAGGTTTTGCGGAGAAAGCTTTCTTTGCGTCGAGTGGAGGCGCCGCGGAAGGGAACCGGATGCCCCTCCATTTCGCAGGGCAACAGGTCGCCCTCCTCGGTGCTGGGCTTAAAGATCCCCGACAGCGGTTGCCCCGGAGCCTTTTTGGGCCGCCGGTGGACCATCATCGACTGCGAACGGGACACCGCCCCACCGCCGCCCACCGAACCACCGCTGATGGTGGCAAACCGATTCTGAGCGCGCTTCTTGCCGCGGGTTAGTGCACTGCCCAGTGTACCGCCGGTTATCTGACTACTCTCAATGAATCCCAGGTGGTAGTTGTTGTTCACCTCCGCGCTGAAGAAATACTTTTCATACTCACTGCTGCAGGTCGAGGCGGACACACTCGACCGCTGGCGACTGTAGTCCAGGGGCTTGTTGCCACTCCAGTCCATGATGTCCCTATTGGCCTCTGAAAGTGGATTACAAATTTGTGTTATCACAGTGAACTGGAAGGATTTGTATTGCTTCTAATTTTAACATAATAAAACAGCCGATTTCTGTAGACTATCAATAATTATTTATATCAATTATCATATCTTATCTATTGATACGTTATTTGCTGCTTAATTTGCTATTTAATTTAAACAAAAATAATATATATTCGAGTATTTTCTAAGTTTAAATTAATAAAATTATGAAAATATAACATTATCGAATACTTACTATAGACATTCCAGAGTAGTTCAAATATATTATCTCTTCCAAACTGGGTAGCCAAATGAAGGGGTGTGTATCCCTAAAAGAAACGAAAATTTATTTTATTATGTGCTAGACCAAAGTCAATAATAAAAAATCTAGAAACCTTTATTAGTCAAACGAAGTTTTTTTTTTTTACAGAAAGTAACAATAGAATTGTAACAAATTAGGTGCATGTTATTATCAAACTCTAGAAAACCGCATTGATAATTGCTTTGCATTCCCCTGTGAATTCTACATGTGGTCTATATAAGACCATGTTTTGCCATTTGCGGTGTGTTTTGCCAGCACCGTATCGAATCCTGCGGACTGTGATTGACAACTCACTTTGTTTCAAATGTGGATGTGACATTTTAATACATTTGAGTGAATTTAATTTCGCAGGAACAAAGCACCGTTCAATTTAAAATTTTGTAAACTTGAATGCGCAAGGAAAGGATTGAGTTGGTTTGGAGGCGACAGGCCGGTGAGGCCCGATTGGATATGCTCGTCATGATTTGTCACAGCCTGCTCGCCGCCTTCGGATCAGATTCAGTCCAAAACCCCCGGGAAAGGGTTATGTTACGCGACTTTGTGACATGTGACGCACATTTACGCGCGACTGGGACAAGCCAATAAGTCGGTTCGTATATTATTAAAATTGTCTCAATAGATTTACATATCACTCACCCCGTTCTGAAGCGTCAACAGTTGGCGAAAGCGATCACATGGAATAAAGGGTATATTAAAATCTTCAGGTTAACACGTTGCCATCTCAGACAATCGCTTACCGTTCTGGCATTTACATCGGCCTTATAGGTGCCGGCAATTAGTTTAACCACATCTTCATTGCCGTGCTTGGCTGCCCAGTGCAAAGCGGTCTGAAAAGAATTAGTACCTGATTAGTATGTCCTATTATCATAACAAACATTTTTAATTCATTCTGCAACTTTAAAAAAATCCTTAACATATTCATACAAAAATATAATCTCATGTTAAAATAAATAGTTTGATGAAATGAATAATATATGATTTAATATTAAGATTGCATCTTAATAAAGGATAAGAAATACATACATATTTCAGGAATATTTTTACCTTGGATATATTATAATTGGTTTAACCATTATCTGCTATTTAAATGGTGATTATAAACTTATAGATTAAGATCATGTTGATTTAATAATTCAAGATATAATGATATATTTGGCGAAATGGGTTTCTATAGATATTCTTTTGAATAGTGTTTGCACATACTTGTTAAGGGATTAATTGTAAATATTTGTACTTTGGAAATATGAGAATTGGTAAAACCACTATCTGCTAATAAAATGGTGACTATAAACTTATAGATGAGACAATTTTTTACGGTCCTTAAGATCATATTAATTTAATAATTTAAGGTATAATGAAGTGTTACGCGATGTTACTTCATAACAATTTTTATATTTTTATTATTATTTTTATTAACTGTAAGTATTTGTACCTTGGAAATATGATAATTGGTTTAACCCCTATCTAATATTTTAACAATTTTTTTGGGTCTTTAAGATCATATTGATATAATAGTTCGAGATACAATGAAATATTACCCGAAAGGGGTTTTTACAGATACTAGATTATAAATAACTCTTAACAATTTTAATATTTCTTGTTCTTTTGAATAGTGTTTGCACATATTTGTTGAGAGATTAATTGTAAGCACGCTATCTGGAACGGTAGCTGGACTACCAGTCGGTGTCCCAATCGCGTCGCAGATGCCCCAGTTCTGGGACTATTTGTTCCGCCATCAATTGGCCTCTGGACCGCCGAACTGGAGACCCGAGGACGAGGACTCGACCCAGCTGCCGTATCCGAGATTTAGCGATATAAATAAATTGGCCAGCCACCGCCGAATGCCTGTTGCCTCAATTATTTTCATGTTAACATAATAATTTAGTATGGCAAAACGATTCGCCCGGCTGCGATAAGCCGTCGCTGGACGGAACTGTGCCGAACTGGAGCTGGAGCTGGAGGATCGCCGGCAGATCTTGGCCAGATCGCCACCGGTGCATTTCCATCGGCGGTGCATGTCTGATTTTCTATAGAATTGTTTGCCGCCGCACTGCAGCCCACGTACGTATCTCCCATGTGTTGACAATGAAGACGGTCACTTTCTGACTTTCTGGACGGCGACGGCGACGGCGACGACAAACGCGGAGATCGCAAAACGGCCCGAGATCGGGTCGAACAAATAGAGTTTCAGCTTGAGTCAATTCCCATAGTCTGGCCGATCCGGCGATCGGTATGTAATTCTTTTCAAGGGAAATTTGTTTCGTGTCTCCCGTTTAAGAATATCCAGCTTCAGCTTCAGCTCGAGCTTTAGCTCCAGCTCCTGCTGCTGACGTAGTTATTGCTGTCGATGCATCTTAATCTGCCCAGCCTGGCATTTAATCTCGTCCATTGTCTTTCGCCAAACCAATGATCACGGCCGGGAGCTGCAAGTTGGGAATTGCCAGCGGGAGCGGGTTTGGGATCGGGATCGGCGACGTGAGCGGTGGAATGTGGGTATAATTTGGTTACACTGATACTGCGACTCGTCTCTATTCAATTAGCGCATTTTTTCAAATTAGATAAGGGGAATTAAATTCTCAACAGATGCGACATGGTGGCAAAAATTAAGTTGGCACTGGGAAAACAATAAAGCAGTCAAGGGATTTGTACTTAATTTGTTGTTTTCTTAATTACCTTATATTAGACGTTGAATTAACATTCAAGTCTCAGCGAATTTGGGTAAAATTATTTATATACCAAACAATAACTTAGATACATTTATTAACAAAAAATCACAAGCCTTTTCATAACATTTCCCTACCAAATATGTATTAGAACTTTAAAAAATGTTGGGCGAAATTAAAGTTATTCGACTATTATTAAAGTGCTAGTCATTCCTTTCATTTATTATTAACCAAAAATAATCTTGGAGTACCTGTCGGAATTTAAAAATAAATACTCTTATTCTTTTAGATCAAAGGTTAAACGTTACCTTTTCTCAAACATATTTGATTATTCTATTTGCGAATCAATAGAGCTTAGAACTTATAACCAAGCCTCCTCATACTTTTAATTATAAAAAGGGCCGAGATTCGCATCGGAGTTGGCATTGTCCGTGGATTATCGCCTTGTTAGCTGGATGGTTGGCAGATGCTGAAAGGCTGCGACCGGTTTTGGGCTTATAAATCGTCTCACGCGCAGTTTCCGAGCTCCGGAGCGATTTTAGCCATTTCGGGAAGTTGCCGCTACAGTGTCTGAGTCTTTTTACATATGGCACGTTGTCCGTCTGCACGTTTAAATTTATTGTCCATTCCATTAATGGTGGCAAGGGACAGGAATTTTGTGTCTTTGAAAGTGAAATGCCATAAATTCTTGTGTCTCGTTCAGCTGTGGCATTGTATTGGCACACCGCAAGCAAACAGAGCGATTTGCCTCTCCTCCGGATCCGCAATCCTCCGATCCGTCCCGTCGTGGAATCCTTCCTGCGTCGCATCCCATCGCATCGCACCGAACGCAAATGCCCAGAAATTCCAGGAGCACAGATTCCAATACCTAGGTCGTGCGACATTTAACCGTGTTGCTGATCCGTTATTGCTTCATGATCATAAAAGGATGTTGCGAATACTTCACACAGCATTAAGTTCCGAAGGTGTTTAAGTTGACTATTCAAGGGGTATGCAAACAAACACCATGTCATAAAGGGCTACGTTGCTGTATCTTAAATATTGTTTACTTTTTTGGTACATCTTAGAAACTAATCCTATCCTACCATCTTTGCTTACAGGCTGTTTTAGAAAAGATTCTGGATAATGTCTGGATATATATTTAAGTTATTTTAAAGAGCGTTGGGCAGCAAATAAGTTGGTAATTATCGAATATTTGGATTATTCTTAGGCTACCAAATATCTTTAAGAAATGTAGAGGTAATTCCACAAAAGAAGAGACATTCATTCTTCTATGAATGAAAATATTATTCCGATTGTGGAACTTTAATATTGTTTTTTATAATCTTATGTGGTAATATTTTTGTAGGCTTTAGACAACCCATTACCACAAACAAAATATACGGTTAAAGACTGATTATACTTACATACTGAGTTCCAACAATCCACATTGAACATGTAAAATAAAAACAGAAAGCATAATTAATAATTAAGATAAAGCGCCAAAAAGCACTCAGAAGAACAGACACAAAATAAACTTCGTCAAATAAAAGAAGAGTGGATCCCCTGGCATTGGCAGGATTTGGATAAGACCGGCAGGCAAGTGCATATCATGTGCCATTTTCGCTTAACAAGTTAATAACACATCCAGGCAGCTTCAACGGCAATTACAGCCCTTCGTTTCATTTTTCTGGCAGATGGATATCGCGTCCTGCGACGTAACTGCGGCTAGTCATACCAGCGAGTGTCCTTGCTCCTTGGGCCAAAAGCCCTAATGGTGCCAACTATATATGATAATGAGGGTCGGAGAACTGGAATGCCGATGCGGGCTGTGGATGGTCAGTGGTCAGAGCGATCCACAAGAAGTGGAGTGGTTCCGATGTGCGGATGTTCGTTTAGCGCCAAAAGTCGAGCGCCTGCTTTTCCGACGTGCCGTCGCTGGGAGGCGTTTTGATCGAAATTCGATATTGCGCTGATAAGACGGGAATGGGAATGGGATTGGGAATGGGAACCGCTTGACGGACCCCGCCAACGAGACCGCTGTAACCCAGAAGCTCTCATTTTGATGGATCGCCAGGACACGAAAACTGTCATGTTTAACATGGCTGCTCTGGTTATAATTAAGACTCCCTGTTCTCTTCCGTAATTGCACTTGGATCAGAGCCACCGATCGGTGGGCAGCAGCACATTGCTCTGGAGATTACTCGCAAATTAATTTATCATTAAAGGTGCACTCGCACCATTTTCGACTGTCAAGAGCCCGGCAATCTCGAAATAATGACTAACAGAGTCATGTTCTTTAAGGCTGGCAACCAGGTCATTAATGCGAGTTTAATTTGTGTTTGTTTTTCCAAGTTAGCTAAATATTAGAGTGGTCATGTTCGTACTTACGCCCTGTTTTCGTTTCCGATCAGCGAATGTCGGTACATGGTTGTGAATTACCGAGAAAGAAAACATTAGAATGGAACCAGTAATTAAAATACATGTTGGGTGGTGCGGGGGTTGTAATAACATTTTAAAAGTAGGTTGTGCTTACTGTTATCAAAATAAATATTAAGATAAATGTACAAATTTTTAGTTTTGTATAAAGACATAATTTTTAAATTTACTAATTCATATATTTTAATTATAATACAACATTAGGAATCTGAATTTATTAAACAAAATAGTGTTACCCCTTAAAATGTCCTGTCAATTGGAAAACCGAAATAAAATAAATTATGATATCGAAATCCTGTGGCCTATTGAATGACTTTAATCAGCTATGAACATAATTTGACCCCAGGCCATTTAAGACTCCAATCATGCTATCTAGCTGGGCTATCTCATTCGAAAGGTGTGCGAGTTCCCAGAGTGACCATAAACAAGCCACCAATCTTTCGGGACATAATTGTGAAACAGAAACAATTATTTTCTATTTATGCCAGTGGCGGTGGTCATGATACACATATGAAAAAAAGTAAGGGGGCCTCTAAATCAATACCAAGCTGACCAAATCGACAACTAGGTCTAATTGCCACGCCATTCCGAATAGAACAATCCAACAATCTTTACAAGGAAACGACAATAATCACCCGGCACGATAAAATAAAACAACAATAATAATGACAGCCAAAGTCTTCACAGCGTTTTTATCTGCGGCAAACAATCTAAATGATATATTAAGCGCAAAGCAAATAACGCTCTTTTTGTCGTCACCATGTCCTTTCTCTTTCGCTCGCAAGTTAAGTTCTCCAATTATGCGGATTATTAATTTAACTGGGTCGCTGCCGAGAGACCCTCGTCCACTTCCCAGTTCCCCGAGTCCCCGGATCCGTAGTCCCTGCTCTTTTTGGTCCCTGGCCAATGGTTAGTGGTTAGTGGTCCGTGGGCCGATCGCTGGCCACTTGTCGTTTCACAAGTTGTCAAAACTTGTCATTTAACCGACAATGAGCCTTGTTTGCTTTAATCGTGGTTATTATGCGTGCGGCTGACTTAGCCGCTCCCTCGGAATTATTAATGATGCGTCGACCGCTTTGGCAGGTGCTCTTTCCCGGCGGCTGCCGATGCCACTGCCTCTGGGACTACTTATTGGCATCTCCGAGAGTGTCCCTAATTAGTACACTCAGCGAAAGTAGAAGCACTTAGAAAATCAATTAACTAGTTATGATATAAAGTTTAATTCGTGGATATATGTTATAAACTCTTCAACCCTTCTTACAAAAAGGATTTATAAAGTATAGATATTTTATATATCAGGTTAACCAAATCTCCTCATCTTACATTCTACCTTTCTTATAAAAAGGATATCTAAAGAGTAGTAAATCTTATCTTAGCCCTTTCTAATGCACCCCTATTTTCGGTGTAGATATTTTGTATTTAAGTAAACTAAGGCGAATCTCCATGAAATTAAATGTTTCATTCGAGGGTTGAGAAGGTTTCGAATAAAAGAGTTCTGCAAAAGTAGACCTAATCTAATAATATCCCAACCCATCTTGATATTCCCATATTTGAAGTTTAATTTACCTAACTTTATCAACTAGTAACACCAAATGAAATTTAGTTCAATTATATTGAAAATATTTCATTAATATTTAATAAATGGGATTACTAAATATCAGAACTCAGGAGGTCGCTTATAATATTCTAAAAAATTGAGTGCGTCTTTTAAAAATGCTAGAAATCGAAAAAAAGGTTTTGTGTAATTGATTTCTAAGCTACTTCGTTCTTTTTTATAGTACCCAAAATGTATTTCTCTCTGTGTAACCTGGATTCTGACGCATTTTGACCGCTGCGGACGCACTTTCGTGCGCTAAACCAAATTAATTCGAGGTTGGATAATCCTGTTATTGCCGCATAGCTGCCATGATTTATATATCACACCGAGTGTCCGGTGGCCCGACTGTCCAATTAATTCTCACCAGACCTAATTTATTCGTAATATCCCAGTGAGCCGGGCATGCAAACGGACCCTTCCTTTAATTGGTTTTATAACAGCAGGGTGGCTCATTTGTCAATGTGGCAATCAATAAATTCGCGAACAGGTGGAAACTCATAACTGCGACCGGGCTTAGGTTGCATATTTTTTGTATTTTTATTTTTATTTTTTTTGTTTTTTATCCAGTCAGTCGCACAGTAGTCGCGGCGATGAGGGTTCGCTCCTGTCCAAGGAATGACGATCCTCTGGCGAAGCGAACTGAACAGGTGATCGGCAGCAGAGTGCTGTTTGCTTATTAAGTTGTTAAGCTAAATTATTGTTTTTCCCGTTTTTTATGTATTTATTGTGTTTACCGCCTTGCCATTGGCGACATTTAACAGCTCGTGCATTTATGTTGTCCGACACACAGACCCATTAGCAACATATCAGGAGCACGCGTCTACAATAATATCTAAATGTTAACACAAACGACTACATTGTAGTAGCTGATTTATGAAAGTGTTTTGAACTCATCAGAAGCAAAGATTTTATTCTGTCAAGAACTTATCTTAAGTTTAGGTTTCCGTTTATAGGGTACTTACTTCAATTTTACCTAAACCCTATTCATAAAATTTATGCATATTTTCTAAATATTATTTTGGGGTAACCATGTTGCATTTACACGAAAAAGGAAAGATAATTGCAAAATTTACCCTTATATTAAGTGGCAATGAGAGCACACCCTTGTGGTAAAAATAAGTTTCTGCAGATAATGAATTTCGATTAAAACAGGTTTATTTCAGGCCAACTTAAAGTCCTTGACTATCAAAAAAACGGTTGAAAAAGTAACGTGTCAATGGTTTTGTTTTATAACGTGAAAACGGTTTGTATGTGTAATCATTTGCATTAAATTGGTAGACGGAATTATTGCATTCTTAATGGCGGTTAAACAGAACCACAAAGTATGAATAATAAATTATATCAAATTATCTTCAACTTACCGTTGCTGGACACTGAAAATAAAGAAGAAAGTATACATTAATATTTTGTTTCTTAGTAAAATTAAAATTATTTTAAAGTTATATAGTAATACATTTTACAAGGTCTAAACAAATTCACAGAGACCATTAAGATGTGAAGCAACTAAGGCAATTGATCTTATTTTTTCACCCAACAATCTGCAAAGCCTGTGAAATGAAGTACATAATTAAATGCGTAATGCCCGTATGAAATCAGTTCAAGTTCGGATCGATAGCTGATTTAATTGTTTGACTAATTGAGAGATTTTTTACTGCCCCACTGGCGAACCCCCAAGACGCGCATCCGAACTACGAGAAGCTGCAGCATGATTTGCTCCATTTGGCACTCGGTTAACTTAATGACTTGATTTGCCAGACTGATGAGGTGCGGCTGATTAGCAAGCACTGGGGGACACAAACAGGACAGGAGATGGAGATGGAACTGTGGCTGGGATCCAGAAGCCAGTAGCCAGTAGCCAGTTGCCAGATCCACAGACAAGAGTACGTGCAGCAACGTGGCCGACATCCTGGCCATCGTCTGATCGGCGACAATGACTCGCCATATATGCCCCATAGCCGGGCAGCCGCAAAAAACCTTAAATTTCATGCAGAATTAATTAACCGCAGTGGCCGCTACTGCAGGCGCTCATTTCGTGTCGCCGCCGCCCAAGTAGCGCAGTGCTTTTTGTGGCTCCAACTTTGACTTCGACTGCGGCTCCCAACTCCAGCTCCCAAACTCCGACTGGGGCTCCCAGTCCGATATTTGATGACCGGGCAGACAACGCTGGAACACACAGAAACGCTCGACGAGAGCGGTCTGGAATTTCATTCAGAAACGTGCCCTGTACGCTGAGGTCGTGTCCCCGCCGCTTTCTCATGGGCATCTCCACTTGCCGATGTTTGGGCGGTGCACTGGTACAATAATACTCCACTTAAAATCGGTTAAGGCACTGCCAGTAAATACAGAACTACCAAGTCACAGGATTTTTAGTCATAAGATACCCGAGTACATTTTAAAATCACTCTCAAAATGAAGTACGGAAAAAAATATTAAGTACATGTATTACAAAATAATTTAATGAAGTTGTAACTTGAATGTAATTAATAGAATCCCTTTAGATAAATCAGTTTGGCTGATTAGAAAACTTTCTTAGCAGGAGAACGGAAAGAAATTGTGTTTATAATCAAACAACTATTAAAATTTTGTAAAAGGTCTGCTTATCTTTAATGTACTGCATATAGGAAGTCCTTATAGGTAGAATTACAACTATTTTTCTGATTTTTGAGAAAAGAAGGTTTTTTCTTACGCTTGCTCCCCTAAAAGAAGATTATAAGCCTAGGAACTTGGTAGCTAAAATGAATATAGATGTTTAAGATACAACTTTGTAGGTAAATACATGCTTTTATAAGCACATTAGAAAATTATAAGCCTAGGAACTTGGTAGTTAAAATGAATATAGATGTTTAACATACAGATTTGTAGTTATTCACCTGCTTTTATTAGAACAAAAGTACGTCTTGGGCCTACAAAACATATTGGATTTTAAAGTTTGATACGTTCCTTATGCTTAACAAGAAAACGAACTCATTCCCAATTATTGACTGTTGTGAACTATTTTTTCGAGTGCATTTTGGTATGCATATGCCGGCTGCTCGTTGGCCAGCGAATCTATGTTGTGGCGCCATTAGCTGCCCCGTGTCGCAATTTAATTACAAGCTCCATCCATCCGGGGACATCGGTGAGATTTATGCAAAGAATATGGACTAAGCATACGCATCGGGAATATCGGCAGCGGGGGATATACGTCCATAGGGGAACCAGAAGGACCAGGGGGAAGGGCAGGAGTGGGAGAGCCGTATCACATCGCTGACATCACGATGCAGTTGCATTTTCCCCGGGGACCCGTCGCTTTTTTGATGCACAACTCAATTTGGCCAGCGGATCGGATCGAATCGAATCGATTCGGATGGGCTATGGGCGATGATGTGAGCAGTTAGGCCTTAATGCAGGTTGCCAAAGGGCCAACGGCGAGTGGCCTATTCAAAGACATTAAGGCGAAAGCACTTGTTGCCATCAGGCCAGGGAGCTTCTTTAAAATCGAATCACGTCTGCCCAATTTCTGACCGAGTCGGGCCCAGCAAAACCCAGAAAGAGTGAGAGAGATGCAGACACTGTCTTGGAAAATTTTAACTCCCTTGTAGGCGATTAAGTTAAATGCCACTAAACTAATTTAATAGCGATTCTGAGTGCACTCGGGGAGCCCCTATCCAGCGAAGCAAACCCTTTCGACTTTCAGGAAACTTGCACCACATTTTCGCTGTTAAACATCTTGTCTCGTCCCCCGTGTCACGTATGCGATCTTTGTAAAATAAATACACTCGACGCCGGCCAGCCAGGCAGATTGCTTTTCTATATGGAATTTAATTTGCGCTGACCCAAACATGTAATAACAATGCAATTTCAGGCGCAATTTTCCATCGCCCGGCCCAGTAAATCAAAGTGAGTATTTAATAAAGCGCTGACCATTTTCTCAGGCATTCTCAGGCATTTTTCCCGGGCGACGACAGGAGATGCAGATATGTACATACAACTGGAGATCTACAGATGCAGATGGAGATGCAGATGTAGATACTGCTAACCGGACATGCACGTCTCGTTATGCAAAATGCCAGCAATCCGGGGCAGTTAAAGTTAAGTTTATGGTGCCTATGATCGGGATGGATGGCGCTTAGCGGGGGCAACCTGTTGCGACTTTGGGGGCGCCCCGTGGACCTGGGGCATCGTAAACCCGAGACACACATTCGGGATGATTAATTTAAGCACTTTTACGAGGCCGCTTCATGGCGCTCCTGATTTATTGGCGGCCAGTGCGGCCAGAAAGCAGACGCTGCTTTACGATTGGCCTCAAATGGGCTCGAATAAAATCGCTGGATGCTAAATACTCCCATTCGGGAGGTATCCCCCATGCCCCATGCCCCAAACCCCAATTGGTTCGATTCAACAGCGACTTAGTACCTTCTAATTCCGATTCCGATTCGATCATCGCGATGGCTGCACTCGAACACGGCCCAATGAGGAGTTGGCCAAGGAGATTTCGTTTTTCGTGTCTGGCAGCTGGCGCATGTTGCCATCAGACGCATTTACTATTTTGCATAAATCATAATGTAATCTGCATCTGGAAATGAAAACAAACCGATGCCAGGCGAAGCGAGGCGAACCAAAGCCCAGTCAAGTCAAGCGAAAATGTCCAAGCGTTTATAATTAACTGCGCGGCCAGAAACCGAAGACATTTGCAGGCGACATGCCGGGCCCAGTTGCAGGACTCTCTCGGATCAGAATCCAGCTGAACAGCCGAACAGCCGAAACAGCCGTACAACCAGCATAAGTCCGAGCATAATCGCGAGTTCCTCAATGGAGCCTGCAGCTCCCCAGCATCCGACAACGCCAGCAACAACCGCAGATACTCCTACAGCCGAATCAGCAATGTGTTTGCACTGGGAGAAAAGAATTGCTCATTTCCCGAAGTGTTTGGTCTTAGAAATATATATTTTTTATAAAATATGTTTACTATAAGTAGAACTATAATCAAGGAAAAGTCCTAGCTATTTTGCCATTTAATAAATATTAAACTGCAAGCATAACCTTATTTAGTTGGATCTCACAAAACTATTCAAAAATGGCAGTATTCAAAATTTTTAAAATTTTAAATGTTTGAAACCAAATATTAAATTTGATTTTTTGATTATGGCCATATGGCACTTGCTTATAATTAGACTGTCTTACTGGATTTTTTGTTCAAAACGTCTTGACTACCTAGGTAAAGAATAAAGCATCTACAGCTAAAAATGTTATGAACATGTTATGTTGGATCAAAGCAAACATGTTAACAGATTTTCTAAAGATTTCCAGCCTTTTTAATGTGAACTCAGTCGAAAGATATTAGAACTTCAAAAACCTTTCACTGAATAGTTAATTATGAAAGACTCCCTTTTATCATCCCAAATAACATCCAAAATACTTTGAGTCCAATTGGGGACTATACAATTTTTTAAAACCCAAATGACACTTAATATGTTTTCAGGTTTATTAAAAGTCATGGCATACTAAGCAAAATATGAAATTTATATGAAATTAAAAGACGTGTTAAATATAAAGCAAGTGTTATAGTACCTTTACCACTTTCATCAACGATTTTGAAGTTGCTACTTTGTTATTTAGACCACATTTTTACACTTTTATTTGAGGGTACTAAATTATTATTATTTATAGTTTTATTTTATGTTTTTAAACTCTTTTATCTATAAATTCAAAACAATATTTTTTAGACGTACTACAGTACCTTATTTTTTTTTTAATGGAACAAAACAATTTTAAATTCTGTTATTATCGAATCTAATACTTGTTTGATCTCCCGGGTTTTTGGTCTGGGTACTAACTTCGTAATTTTTTTGAGTGCCTATGTGTCGGCACAGGCGGTCAGAGATTCGCGCCGAAGAGGAGCAGGCCTGGAGATGGGGGCGAGGATGGAGAAGGAGCTGCGGAGCTCGGGGGGCTTAGGGAGCTGGAGTCGACTACGCAGGCAAATGAATAACCCTCACCTCATGCGCAATCGCGAAATCGCGAGATCTACGCAGCGCGCGGTCATCGGGCGCCTGCCAAAACTACGGAAAATAATTTATGCCCCAGTCGACGGACCGCGGCAACACATTGGCGCAACATGCTCCGCGGAGGCAAGCAAAAGGCACCAGGCAGCAACGTTCAACAGCCAACAGCCAACATCCAACAGCATCCAAACAGCGAGCCGAGATCAGCGGGTCGGATGTTAGCCGCAGCCAGAGCAACGGCCAAAATTATAAATTAATGAAATTTATGCACAATAAAATTGCAAGCGAAATTATTGATGCAGTCGTTCACGCTTTAAATGCTCCCTAAATCAAAAAACGCCTCAAAATTATTAATATGGCCGGTGAACATGCAGCCAGACAATCAGATG